AAAAAAAAAAATTAAGAGTTAACTTTAAGTTAACTTTAACCCACGACACCGCTTCAGCACGTCAAGTACACGTGTTCCACCTCTTATACACGACTCAGCGTCCATTCCACTGGTACCGTAATCTCTCTGCGGATTTTTACAACTTTTCTTTTGGTACCTACTTTTTCAAGCTCTCCTGACAGAAGCACTTTTTTGGCTGACAAAATCACCAACCTCTGACACAAATGAATGACACTATCATTTTTAATACTGAAGAAAGTTTATTGCAGGTCTTTCTTTTACAATTCTATTACAAAGTATAGCTAGGAAATAAAATGATCTATGACCGATTTTTCTGCATGAGCAAAGGAAAACAATAAGCTGAATACATACTCTATTGACCTAAGCACAATGGTCTCTCTGTGACTGCAGATAAGGATCCCCGGCTCCCCAGTCCTTGTTTCCAGTGCCTGCACCAGGGGAGGAGGGGGAGAGCACTGACACCTCTTACAGCTACTGATGCTGGCTGCTTGGAGTAGCTGCTCTCAGCTCACCCTACAACTAGGAGTTGCTCCATCCATCCCAGCTGAGGTCCCATGCAGCGGTCTGTTCCTTCACAGCTCCAAAGTCATTTTATCTGATAGGTAGTCAGACCCCAGAGAAAGGTGTGGATGGGACACTTGTGGTTAGGACAGAACATAGCTAGAACAAAAAAGGCATCCTTCACTCCAGTCTCTGCATTACGAATCAATGTCCACTGCTCCTGTTTACATCCCAAGTCACTGTAAATTCATATTCTCTAAATACTACCCTGCAAGTCCAATAACAAACTTGATGCAAAAACAACCATCCTTCCATCTATCTGCAATTTGCTCATGATATTTTACAATTAGTCCACTAAAAAAATTTTTTCCTGTAAATTTGCCTCTTCAAGTTTAGTAGAAATAGAGGCATCGCAATAGAAGGTGAATATGAGTTTTCTTCCCTTGTTTAGTAAATTAAACTAACACAGATAACTTATACATCATCTAACATTGCCAGAATCTTTCCCCTACTGCTGTTCCCAAGACAAGGGCCAAGAGCACTCAAAACACACGTCCACTCGCCCGCTATCACAAGATGAGTTCCCCCCGACGGAGCCTTGGGCTTGCCACGAGAGGGGGCACACAAACTGAAAACAAACCATCCGTGTGAAATGAAGAGAAATTGCGGCAAGAGCGCAGGGAGCTCCAGCTGGATTTGGTTTCAGCAGTCCTACGCACCGGGCCGATCCCCAGCAAACTCGGAAGGTGCTGAGGCAGGGAGCGTGGGGGATCGGAGCGGCTCCGAAGCGGCAGGGAAGAAGGTCTCGGACCCAGCCACACGAGGATCGTCAGCTGCAGGAGTAATTGCAGAAGTGTTCTCCATTCCAGCTCTACCAGAGTCCTGACTGTGCTTGCTGCAGAAAATCTGACTCTCTTTATCTAGAGCTGTCTTCTAAAAACAAACAAACAAAACCCAAGGCAAAAATATGAAAAGAGCAGTTAACTGCCTGAACTTCAGGGTTAAAACAATCTACAAGACATGGAGTGCATGCATTAGAGCCAGAAAAAAGGAGAAATAACATTAGGGATCTTATATAATGAATTGTAGCATTTCATGGTTCTGACTTCGGGAAACATCAGGAAAACTTATCCTCCACTTCTATGTTTGCCATGATGGCGTGACTTTAAAATTCTCTTTCAAGTCTGACATGCAAAAATAAAATCAGTGGTTATGATTCGGCAGGAACTCTTCACACCAGCTATTATTCCCAATTTCTGTACCTTGTGTTTTTGCAGACACAAGGCATTACACAATTCTTAGCGAGAACTTAATAATACATTTTCTGTAACAAACCACATTGCTTTCCAAGACTTGGATGTCTTGGAAATAATCGGTCTTGTTTCACAGTTTGAAGGTTGATGCTGATTTCAGTGGTTTGGGTTTTGTCTTCATAGAATTCCTTTCTTTTTCTAATAGTTTTTGGTATTCTAAGATATACACAAGCTAGTGGTATCAGTGTTAGCTTAGAATATTTTAAATATGCATCCCTCAGTACAGAGAACTCTTTTGTAAGTGTTTCCAGGATCCTCCTTTACTGTTTTTGGGTGGCTGTAAAGCCAATTCTGGATGAGTTATTTCTCCTTTCTTCCTTTGACAAATGGAGAACATGTATTTTTTTTTTTTTTTTTGTGCAGCAGAACAATGCATCGCAGTTAGTACGTACCATTGCCTTGGACCTACTCAGAGGAAAGCAATGCAGGCATTGGGAAGGGAGGAGAAAGGAAGGAAGCAAGGGACAGAAACTAGACTTACTTTAAGCAGAACTAACACAATTGCAACAAATTTAGATTTACAAAACATTTTTAAATGAACAAAAAAAAAATCAGTAATGAATTAATGGCAACATGCTTTCAGGGGCAGAACGTCTCCGGTGTGAGAACACTGAAGCAGGTATGTGCAGTTCTACTTATCTGCCACACGATGGCTTATCTGCGCTGGCCAGATGACAAGATTGCAATGAACTGATGCTAAAAGGGATTCCATTAAATGTGCAGGTGGACTGACAGAGCAATGCACTGCAATACACGAGAGTTACAATACTGGGCTTGTCTGAGTCCGAATGGTTGTAAGCAATGAGTGCTAGACAGGTGAAGAACTTCTTCACGAGAAGATAACTGAATTTCAATGCTCTAGAAAAACCAGGGCAAGAATAACAAACTGGGGGCTTAATCCTCGTTAGATTTGTGTTCTGAACAAGAAGTTAATTTTCCCTTCAGCAATAACTGGGATTTGCATTCAGAACTAAATGACTATATATTCACATCCTTCCAGACCTGTTAAAAGGAAATCAAGGCAGGAAAAGGGAAAATGAAAATAAAAGTTTTACCAAGGTGCGCTTTCCTGGCTGAAGGAATGTCAGTAGCTAAACAGCATCAGGAAAAACCCACACCGATAGGAAGCCAGAAGCTAGGCTGTGTCAGAGATCTGAGACAGGCTTGAGTGGCATGCAAGTTGGAGAGGGGCTGAGAGTTAGAACTGAAATTGCTTTTACTACATATAGTGCGTTTTATACCAGTTTTCAGCTTCAGGCTTATCCATAGTCTGAACAGTATAAAGAATGAAGCTCTGAAGTCCCTCTCAAACTGTCAAGTCAAACTGTCAAATGAAATGTAGACAACAGCATGAACCTGAAATCCATTTGCTGACTTCCCTCATTTTTATCTTTACGTTACCACTTGTCCTACACTTAAATCCTTGGTCTATTTAATTCACATAAATGTGTTTGCAAAAGGATACAAGTTTGCATAAACATCATTTAAATTTACATAATTTCAGACAGTTAAAATCTTTGTTAACATAAGTGGGCTGGATTTAATAGCAATTTAATTAATGCTAACAGAGTGGGGTGGAAATCACTGTTACTGCCACAGATGGTTTTATTTTTCTTATAGTAACTGAAGATACACTTTGTGCACAGTGTCCGTGCTTGCATGAGACAAGAATGGACCAGGATGAGATAAGAATGGTAGTTCAGTCCCTACAGCAGTTGCACATTCTGTGCAAAAGTGACAAGTGCAGTTCTGAGTACCGATAGAACTCCATTTCTGGTTATTTAAGTACAGCTATAGGTGTCAGGGTTCCTTTGTATGCTTTGAGGAAAGTTTCCCATTAGGGAACAGAAAAAACATAGCAAGGGTTAGATTGGGACAAAATTAATGTGGTAAACATTCAATACTACCAAAAAAAAAATTCTGAAATGGAGTCTGGTTTGCTGACAAGCATAGTGTTGAACACTGGTATGCCCACTGTAATACTTGGTTGGGCAGAGGGGAAGAGCCTGCTTAACCAACTGGGTGGTCAATATGACCAAAAATTGCAGGTTTTTAATTACAAAAGATTTCCAATTGTTAATGACTGTTGTCATTTCAACATACAGCTACTTAGTGTTGAGATGTCCCTGTTGGAAAGCTTGTTTTTACAGCTCAGCTAGCACACTGTGATAGACTCGGCTGCTCTCAAGCGATGAGGAGACAATCCACACTATACACAAATACAGACTAGAATTAGAGACTATTCTAGCTTTGCTTTTGCTATTCTTGCACTGCACATGCTCATAGAGCACTGTTAGGAAAATATGAATAAGGATGTTCATTTCTCTTACCATGATGACGGAAACCCCAGCAGATGTGTTATTTTGCTTGGGTAGGGTGTTATTAAAGTGCTGCTTCAGTTTACCTGTTACTTCAGCTTGCATATTATTCTCCTGGGAAGCATCATCCTGTAGAAGAATAAACACAATATTCAGGTGAGGAAAAAACCCAAAAGTACGCTTGAACGTGACAGAGCAAAAGAGACGTTTCTGCTATCCTGAGGTACTGCTTGCTTCTTAATGTGAAGTACGTGTTCAGACAGGCAGCCCAAAAGTGAATGCCCTCTGCCACGTGAGACAGAATTCAAATGGGTTAAGACAAATTGCAGACAAAGGGAACTTGGCAACACTGTTTTATGTATGAATTTCTATTTCTTAAAATGCCACGTGACTCTGAATACTTTCAGTCCATTGATTTGTCCCACAGTTACAAGCCACTAGTTTGATTCAAGCATGTTAAAAATAACATGCTGGAAATAATGTTAAAAATCCAAAGCATATTTGTCATTTGGCTCTCTTTTAAGTCAGCATTTTAAATGGTCCATCACATCCTAAGTGTGGAAACATTACACAGTACTGTAAATATGTTTTAGAGGAGTTGTTATGCATAGACATGCTCATTATAGTCATCTGCTCTTCTCTTGTTCAAGGGAACTCCATAGATCATATTCAGTCCCTCTTTCACAAGTGTGTGGAAGTAAGCATTGAATATGTACATGTAAACCTAGTATTTATTACTCCTGACCTGATTTTAAATCACTAAGCAAAGCACTTTGGTGCTGTCCATTGCTGCTGTCCAAAAAGATGAAGGAGCTGGCAGCTATCAGCTTCGTGCCTGTGTTAAATTATGTATTTTCTTTGCTAATTTTATTTCTCTTAGTAAGCTTGAAGCACTTCAAAAACCAAGTGATTGTACTCTTAAGTAAGTAGCACTGCAGGAAGGCAGATCCAACATGCACACCAGTCCTTCACAGACACATTTTTGAGATGACTGTTTTCTAGATGCCATGGGAACTAACAAAAAAAGATGTGTTACAGCAACCCCCAGCACCTGCTCATCTCAGTCAGCACGTGGTGCCCTTCACGCTCTTCTTTCAGAGCCCAGAAGCCAATGGTGCTGTCAGAGCTGAAATGGGGAGCCGTGGTTCAACCAACAGGAATGGGCACAGCAGAAGTGTCTTGCTGCTTCTGAGAACTACACCTTACTGGTTAGCTGTACAGATTTAATACCACATTAGAGACAAGTAAAAGGTCATTTACTCACTGACACCCAGGGATGGCTTAGAATCTGTGCTGCTGTGTATCGGGCTTCGGCATTCACGTGTAACATCAGGCTAATTAACTCCTTTATAAATATATTGAAAAAAAAAAATAAGATTTTGATGAGAGTGGGGAAAGACATTACAACGGAAAATATTTTTGCACCAAGTTCTTCTCAGTGCAATTTTCTTGCTACCCGGCTCAAAAAAAAAAAAATACACTGATACCAGGACCAGTGCTACCAGTGTGACTTCAGTGGAACAAAAAGTTTGCCCTTCTACTGTATGCTGGACAGTGTATTTCATACCAGCTTCCTTATTGTATGCATGTTACGTAAAGAGCACAAATCACAGGGAAGAAACTGCATCTGAAATTCAAGAAACTGATGGAAGTATTTGAAAACTATGATCTCTTCTGCATTGCTCCAGAAGAATAAAAGGCATTTAACTCATTTCACCAGCTAAGAATCACCTGGTACAGGAAAAAGCAGATTGACAGAGAAAAATGTTTAATTCTACGGTTAATCCCAAAAGATTTGGTATTTTGGCTTTCATCATATTTAAGAAGCACTAGAGCAGATGTCTTTAGCTTTAACAAATACTTCCATGGGCCTTCTGTTAATGGTGTGACTGTGCTGCCTAGAGATACAATAAACCTAATGAGGTCATGAGACAAAGCAGACAGGAAAATAAAATTAAAAAAGAGAAAAAAAAGCTAAAAACCCATATGACCCCCTCCCCCCAGATGAAGAAATTAATGTACTTGGAGCCAAATTCCCCCTAAAAGACTCTTTTATCGCTTCCAAACTGTCAGCCTTTGTACTCTCATCAAGGGTGTTTCAAGAAAAGTGTTAAATCACTTCCGTTTCGGGAGATGGCTTCTTCAAGCAGATAATACCATATGTAACTGAGAAGTTTCCCAACCAGCCAAGTTATTTAGTCTGTGTAAGTCTGAAATGAAAGGGGTCAACTTTAGCACCATGACTGGGGGCCTTGTTTGTTCAGACTGCAATTCTGGAAGAGTGTAAGGTGCCTGGAGCTTAGGAAATGTTGGCAAATGGATAAAATGTAAATGGAAAAAAATGCAACTTATTGGCTGGGTAACAAATAATCTCCACTTGCTAATAAGAGTCGGCAGATATAATTCAGAGCATGTTACTGAATTAACTCGAGAAGTGGGGCTTAAAATTTGGAACCTTTATCCTACAGAGTCAATAATTTTAAACACAAATGGCAATGATAACATAAGAACTACTAGCAATGGCAATCAAGCTGTCTGCACCTCTTGAAATGTTCTACTAACTGGCTCCAGTAACATAGGAACAAATGATGCAAATTGCGTTCAGTCCATGTACCAATACTTTTTTAAGAGTGACAGGAGGGAGAATTCAGAGAGAGACATTATACAGCTGAAGTGCTGAACCTGCTATAATAGTCCATCAGTAAGTAAACTGAGTAGCACGTGATGCTCACTGGACACAGCTGGAATTCTGCTGCACTTACTCAGACAATAACATCATGGCCTGCAAAACCTAAGCTTTCATCAGGCGCTGGTAAGCTAGCTAACTAACTAAAAAGGCAGAGCAGCTGGAACAGTGGGTTCTGCATCTTCTATTCTGCCTCTCCAACAGAGCTGAGTCTGTTCAGTGGCGTGTCAGAAATGCTATTTCAGATTAGAAAATATATCAGTACCTTTGCTGAATCAGTGATGTTATCCCAATAGGGAGAAGGAAATTCCAGCTTCCCAACAAGTATCTGATCAAAGAGGTCTTCCTGAAGGTTGTTTTCACTGTAGAACAGAAAAAGATCAGAAGCAAGCAGTCAGTTTGTCACACGAGTCTTTAACAACTTGGTTTGGGGATGGAACAGAAATAACAACTACTGTAAACACGTGATTTGCAAGCTTACATGGTGGCATGAGGGGTCTGCCATAGTTACGCTGTCAGGAGCGATGAAAACAAAAAAATAATATATTGAGATGAAAAATATATTTTGAGGTGAAGGAAGTTCCACTGGAATAGGGACTGCACAGCTAACATACAGGACAGGGAAGGTGGTTAAGAAATAACTCACTTGCCAAGCTAGGTCTAAAGAACTTGCCACAGAAAGCATATGATGGGGGAAGATATGTTAACTATTCTGATAAACTAGCACAACTGCAGAATTTTCAAAATCCAAAGAGGAGACATGGAAACTACAATACTTTTAGTTTACCAGGTATTGGCAAGCTACTCCCAGTGAAAGGATGAGTGCTTTTGTATCAGAAACATGGTATCATGACTATTCAGGAATCAGTGGCACTGGGTTTTTTTGATTTTTAACCTCTGTGTGTTGGCCCTGGCCACGGTGAACATCCACCCAACCCATTTCTGGAATAAACAATTTACCTCTTGGGTTGGTTTTGCAATAAATATTTATTAACCTTGCTTAAGGCCTGATTCTAACAGCACAGGATGGACATTCTACAGCCTCCAACCTCCAAACTCTATTCAAAGGAATTTGAGTTTGTTTATGTTTTCAGTTTTAAACATGAACTAACCACATGCAAAAACCAAATACCTAAGCCAAATGATATTTTTTTTCCATTGACAATTGTTTATATTGTATTCTTTGCAAAATATTCAGGCTGGTGATTTGTAGTTAAAAATCTAAGAGTTTTGCTGTAAAAGTGGATAAAGAGACTGTGCATTAATAACTTACAAGTTAAAAGAGGACAATTCCCTATTAAAATGTGCCAATTCCTTCTCATTTCCTGGCAAAAAATAAAAAGGCAGAGGCACAAAGCATATCTGTTTGATTTTTAGTAGAACTCATACATACTGTGACATTGAGGAGCAAGAATCATGTGTGCAAACCCCCTCCATCACAGGACAATTATCAAAGAAAGATTAATGTTAAAAATGCAACATCAGCAAATTCTTCCCCTCGCCTCAGTTTACCCTTAGCCTTCAGCACCTTCACCACCACAAACCAGTAACTGCTGTGTCCAGCCAGAACACTAGAGGGCAAAGCGTACTCGTCCATCGAACCGGGATGCACTTGGCAGACAAAAGGACAAGAAAATATCCCCTCACACCACCCTATCCCTACATGCAACAGAAAACCAGGTGCTCCCCTAGAAAAATAAGTAAATAAACTTGATCCCAGAGGAACAAGTGAAAACAATTTTTAAAAGGAAAAAAACAGTAAAGGAAATGTGTCAATCTAATATTTTTTTTCCGAGGATGCTTTATTCCGGGAGATAGGTAAGACTGCTCAGAACGAACTTGGTTCTTTACTGTTTTTTTTTCTTTAGACATAGAGATGCTTACCTGCGAAAAGGTGGAAATCCACACAGCAGTATGTATGTGATCACACCTGCAGCCCAAATATCCACCTTTAAGCCATACCTGAGAAAACAAGACTGTGTTACTTGTGCTGGATTAAAACAAAAAAAAAGGCAATTCCAGTCAAACAATTGATTAGACTTACAAGCATAGATACTGAGAATCTAAGTTACTTGCTGATGACATGGAAATGTATTTAGAACCCAAGCATCATTTTACTTAACGCCCTTTGTATTCTTTAGGAAACTGTGATAACATCATTTTTCATGTTTTGTATAGGTTTGTTGTTTTGGTTTGGTTTTTTTCCATAAACCTCAAGGCTCTCATACTCAGATTCAGTTCAGTATCAAGGTTTCCCAGCCCAGAATCACTAATGCTAAAAGACAAGGATGTGCTTTCTCAGTCAGACTGGAGTAACTATCTCTAACATTATCATGTGTTGCTAAGCAACAAGACAGATACCAATTCTCCAGTCTCTTAAGCGAGTGGGTACCACAGGGAACAAGAACTGCACCTTTCTTTCAAAGCACAGAAATTAAAACACCAGAGGTCAAAAAGAGGTCCTTTTTCTTTTTTTTTTTTTTTCTATACAGTAGATTCAGTTTGTCAGAAAATATGAAGTTCACTGAGCTCACTGCAGTCTGAAATATTTCCCGGTGTGACAAATGCACTGAACAATGCTTGGAATAATAAACCAAACGCCCCTCCATTAGGAAGACCAAATTCAGAATGGTTACAGCAAAGGCAAGAGTCAGCCAGGATGGAATAGAGGTCTAATAATTCTGAAAGGAAAGACGACTTGTGAAATTATATCATTTATAACATTATTTTGTATTTATGCAACCTCTGTTAAATGCGGAAAAATGGGCTTGTTTAATTAAACCAACAGTTACCAAAGAGCAAGGTCACGAATCCACGCTCTAATTCGACCTGCTCTGAGCACAGGTTTGGACTAGAGGATCTCTGGAATCTCTTCCAGTTACTGTTTCTTGCATGAACGCAGTGTTTTGCTGGTCGGTTTTTCTCTCGGCAGGTGCCACGGCTGGTACGCTGGGCTCTGAATGGTGAGGTAAGCAACACAAACCAACAAACTCCACTGCAAAAATGACTGGTTAGAAGATACACATCTTAGCCATCCTCACCCTGTCTCTGCAATGATTTCTGGAGCCACGTACGTGGGTGTACCACAGACAGTATATAAAGGTCCTTCAACCACAGTCGCCAGCCCAAAGTCTCCCAGCTTCAAAGACTTGGTTCCATCGGGATATTCACATACCTAGAACCAGGAAAAGAAACAAAACAGAATGGGGAGGAGAGCATCCTCATGCTTATAAAATACTTTGATTTGTTTGGAAAATAATAATCATTACACAGAAGGTAGGAAAAAGAGGTAACTTCCACAGCCCTGGAGGGAAAGAAGAGAAAAATGTTCTGGCTGTTGATTGCCCCAGCGCAGCTGGAGCTGGTGTTCGATGGAGCTGTCTGCCAGCCATGTACGCCAGATCATGATCCTAGAATCCTAGAATGCTAAGTTTTAAATATATTAAGAAAAATATAATACTATACTTCCAACTGATTTGGACCTAGAGTTTAAAATGGGAGTGGCAGCTGCCATCAGATCTAACGTCCCTCACTAACTTAGCATAAATCTGGTCTGTTAGTGAACTCGGTATTTCATAGGCAAGTGTCTTCCCTCTTAGTCTGGGAAAGTTCAGTACAGGACTCAGAAAGCTGACTGAGAAGTGTTTAGGTTTCTGTGCAGACCCAAAAAAAAGCTCAAAAGCTCCATAAACAATCTAGCACAACTTTTTCTAAGTCATTTTTTGATGAAAGAAACTCAATTGTAATAGAAAGAGACAGTCATAGTAAATCAAACCAGACCAACAGCAAACATCCCAAATAAATTAATCTTGGTTTTGTTCTTAAAGTAAAATGTCTACGTGAACGACTGCAACAGGATCTAGTTTCTAGAATGCAGGACTGCAGAATGGCTGAATTTATTTGGTTTCCTCAAACAACGGAATACCGCTAAGGAGGCAGCACCTGTGTACACCCTGTGTAACTCATATCATTAATGAAAACACTTGTTCTGCTTGATGTAACACCTTCATACAACATGCTATTACTCTTAAAGTTTGTATTTTTGAATGCACGACTAGTAAAGAGAGTGTAATTCAGTCAGCTGGATGATCCTGTGCAGAAGAACTAACTACTTACAATTACAGGTAGTAATTGATGGGAATTATTTGCATTTACATTCAGTGCCACTGTGTTATCTGAACACTGTTATTCTGCCACTGTCAATCCCAGGGAATAAGATTTACATCTGTTCAGAAATCTCTTTCGGTTTTCTGGGCAGAAGGGACATTTGTGCCTATTTATAACTGATTCAATCACTAACGAGAGTTTAAGATTTCTTTGGATTGGCTATATTTGAAGATGCGCTGATAATAAGTGAGACTTCCACCTTCATTTTCTTTCTCTTAAGTGCCATGTTGCTGTGACTACATTTTGCAGAAATCCTGCCCCCCTTCCTGTTGCTAAATAATCTAATTTATTTCAGAACTTATTTAAATTGCTAAACACTCTCTGTGGAATTGTTTGGGAAAGAATTGACTATTAATTGGAAAATATTTTCAACTTCTAGCCCTGTCCTTGTAATAGTGCAAAATCTGTTCTGGGATCAGCCATGACTCCTACTCCAGATGCAACCTCATTAAACAGGATTGACAAACACCCCAGAAGAAATCCCTACCGAGTATTGGGGAGATTACGACCCCGGTTGTTCAGTGCATGGCATGTAATACCTGATACCTGGATGTAATTTTTAAGTGTAAACAAGCTAGCACCCTGTTCCCATTCTGTGCACTCTAGTCTAAGGAGTTCCCAAAGCAGACTTCATGGTAATTCTTGCCAACACAGTTATTTTATGTCTCTGCTGAAAAAAAAAAAAAAAAAAGTAGTCAGTCCCCTAAGACAAAATAAATGTATGTGCAGATGTAATTCATGGCTAGAATGCTGGTAAGGCATCAGAAAGATGTTCCTACTATGACAGTGAAAGCAAAAGAAGAAAAATAATTGCTTGAGATAACCATATGATCATTCAAAGAAATGGCACTCAGCCCACCTTTTCTCCCACTTGCAAACTATAATAAATAATTCATTGACAGAGCTTTAAAATTCATGGTTTTGTGAGACAATACTGCTGCTTATCCAAATGGCAGCCAATCAAAATGTAAATAAAGATAGGTCTAAGGACAGGTTTGAGTGCAGCTCATTTGGGTTATGGTGATTGCTATCTCATGGCAGAGGACTTATTGCAGACATACTTGTTCTAAATTAATATTCCTATTCTGCGCTCAGCTCCTTGACATTTATAGACAAGCATTTGCATTAATGAGAACAAAGTGAGAAAAAATATTGGAGAATAAATGGGATATACCAGGAGATTTTCTGGCTTGATGTCTCTGTGCACGATGTTGAGACCATGAAGGTATTTGAGTGCGCTGGCTAGATTGTAGACCATGGCGCTCCCATCTCGCTCTGTGTATTTTGTAGAAGAAGTGATCGCATCAAATAGATCTCCTCCCTAAAGGAATGGAAAGATAACACATCATTACTAGAAAAATAATTAAAATTATGATATTTCATTAAAAAGCCATGTAAAATCTTCCTTTGCAAAAGGCATGCTCAGATGCCTGTTGAAGAGTAGAAAAACTATTTTGCAGAAAGATGATTTTGTCACCAAGATACTATACTGGGACTTGGGTCATCTGCATTAAATTCTCAACTGTACTCCACGCTTCTGGTGTGAGTTTGGGCAAATCACAGCTCTTCTCTGCCTTGATTTCATTTTATTGATCTTCCTACCTTTGATCACTCATTTACATTACATACAGGTACAGGCATACAGTTTCCCTTTGCTGCTTCTTATCGATCCAGTACCTTTACACAGCAAAAACCAGCCCTGATTTTGAGTAGAGCCCAAGGTAATATTCAGTTAGTGCAATAACAAAAAGCCTAACGTAACAAATAGCAATTGCAATGAACTGCAAATTGGAGTTTCTGGAGGTATTGCAGAAATATCGGATAGCTGAACAGGACAAATGTAAGGATGATATGCCAAAGCGCAGAACCTACAGGTCCTCTTGGAATACATAACAACATGTAAGCTAGTTACTGATACAGCATTTCCAGTCATTGCAACAAATTTTGCGTGGGTGTCTCTGTGATGGTTACCCTGGATACAGCTGTAGGAGGGCTCTGTCTGAGCTGCGGGTGGCATTCCAGGCATTTCAGTGCACAGGGAAGAGAAGCAGCAAGTCAGGAAAAATATGAAAAAAACCAAAAAATCCCATACTGTCTTAAAACCAAAAAAGCCTCCACTATATAAAAAAATAACTTCTAGAAAGGAAGAGAAATTATGACTTCAACAACTACAGACTTTCTTTAGAGGTTTCCCAGGCTGGCAACCATTCCAGAGGGGACTCTTGAATCTAACAGTGTTTCAGACAGAAATAAAAAGTGATGACATACGTTATTTGTTTCTGACATGCACGTGTCGCTGTGTATGTACAGAACACAGACGAGAGACTACGTGTCTACAACGTGATGCAACTTTGCAATGCATTTTGTATTTGGTTCACAAGGTGACAACAAAATGAAGATTTTTGTTTTCTCTGTATGTTGTTGAAAGCAGCACCTATTTTTTTTGTGAATTGGAAATAAGGTGAGGGAATGTTTGCTATAAACAAAACAGCTGAGTTTTTTTTGTGTTTCAAATTTTGCTGGAATATCATCACTTGAGTTTAAACTATTAATTGTATCTACTGTCTACTAAGATAAATTCATTAAAGAGAGTTTGTTTCCTTAAAGCAAATCCTTAAATATGGAGTTTAGTGACATCTGTGCAGCTGTTCTGTTGGTAAATGCGTATCACTATTAACCCTACATATTGTAAACCACTCTCTGCTTCTCTAGACTGCACATACTTTGTGAACTTACCTCAAATCTGTGTAAATAGTCCAGTTACAACTGAAGAGACATCAATTCCATTAATATACCTGATTGACAGGACTAGTTGCATGAATAAAATGCAGGCTGCCACCGAAATCTTATCTGATTATGTCTCTCAGGATCTTAAATGTTCCTAGATACTTCTCAGACTTCACACAGAGAATTAAAAAAAGCCTCCTCAGTCTTACCTTCACCAGCTCCATCACCAGATAGAGTTCTGCCGGGGTGTCCATCTCCTCTATCAGCATAATGATATTCGGATGTTTCACTTGACGCAGAATAGACACTTCATTTTCAATCAGGTGTTCCTGTGCAGAAAGGTGGAGGCAAGTTCATCTGAATAGACGCAAAATTGCCAATTCACTTTTCCTTTGATTAGCTGACCACTGATCACCGTTTAAGGGGGTTATTGTTAGATGCTGAATTTTAACCTGCATTTTAGCCCAACTGTACTTCATTGCTGACCGAATTTAATCTGAAATACCATCTATCACACATGTAGCCAATGGGATATTTCCAAGAAACTACCCTAGAAGATGAGAGCAATTCAGGAAGTGTAGATTATATTCCTGTGTGGGTTTTAGGAGGTGAAATTAAGTTTGGACCTCAGGTCACTGTCAGCTGCCATCCCCCATCAATCGCTAACGTGTTCTTGATCCTCTCCAGCCTTCACCTCTCATTTAGTGCAGGTTACTCAAGGACAGATTACCTAGGATTTATTTTCAAGCACTTTTAAAAAAAGTTGTGGATTACATACAGGAAAAATATACTAACTGCTTTGGTTCTGGATTTCAGTTCATTTATATGTATGTTCAGATCCACAATCTGCTCCGTTCAGTCACTGTGGCTCCAAGAGCTTAACAGCACACAGACTGAGTTTAATTTCCCCTTCCCTAGAATTCTGAGGAAGGAATGGGTTTCAAGAGCAAATTAGTTTCTGAATGTTTTGTTTTTCTAGAACATCTTAGCACTTGCTTAACACCGGAGAGTGAAGAAAAACCCATGCCCCTTTCGTGGGAAGAATGATTTGCATTTTCCTTTGTAAGTATCAGAATACAGATACTCTATTTAGGTTCACTGCAAAGTAAGAAACAATGCCTGCACAAAACCCTAGTTTTATGGTGACTAACAAATCATCTCATTGAACCTGGACCTTATTGACGTTTAATGCCCTGATTAGCAGCATGCACGTCATGCATTTGTGAGCAGAGCACCAGGAGATGTGATCCACGGTGCGTACGCAGTGACTGATGGTCTTGCCGTGCTCCACCTTCTATGTCCAGGGTTATTTACGGATGCACTGTGTTTGTGCCAAAGCTTTCTGGGGCTGTGGAACTCAGAAACCCCGTGCTGTGTGTGCACCTCATTGCGTGAGAGCGCGGTGCGGCATATACGGGTTATACAGTCACACCTTTGCAATGCAGTTTGACAGAGAGCATCAATTGTAATTCTGAACAAATATATGTCTGCTCCAAGCAAACGTGCTCTGGAGAGGGGAAAAAAAAAACAAAACAAAACATGAAGCAATTTTGTTAAACACAATGCTGAATCTCTTCAACAGACAAAGGTGAACAGCCACAGCATACTAAGCCGGATGGATGGAAACCTGAAAATTCAAAACTAGCATTGAGTCCAAGCAACAGCTACAACTGTATTACAGCTTCTTCTACCTAAAGAACAGATAATGTATTAAATTTATTGCATCCCTTAATTACGACAAAGGCACAATAGCTTTACTTGGGCTTTCTTTGTTTCATCTGACTCAATTGTTAATTGCTTCAAATAAAGCTCAGCCATAAGTAATTTTTATTTAAAATAATTAATAGTAATATTTATTATTAAAAATGCTCCAAAATGTTGTTGAACTACTATTTTAATATCTGTCCTCAAAATGCTGACTAGTATGGTGTTAGTTATATTCAACTACCCCGCTGGTTTTGCTATATTTTGTCTTGTAAAAAAAAAAATAATTGTCAAACTTGTTGCTACATTCTCCTGGATAGTGCAATACAGATTTCAGTCAACATTAATATGATTTATTTACAGATAACTTATTGTATAATTAACACTTCAGCTGCTTGTGGAAAATACATTAGTCAGTGGGATTAGATAAACTGCTAGAGAGCAGTAAGCAATACCCACATCTTGCATTTTTGGTCCAGATAGGGGTTTCTAAGGCAGGACTTCTGTTGGCACGTGAAAGGGAGTGAGGAAGGAAGGACTAAGCTGGAGCAAAAATGAATTACTTCCTTTGCTGGAATTCTTCCTGGACAGTTCTGCCACTGCCCTAACAGGTATAAACGTCTTCCTGCCAACAGTCCCCTGCTCGTACACGCACATGCATCTGTCCGTAGCTGTACAGACACAGGTCCTTGCAAAAGACAAGTAGGCATCCGTGGGGCTGTTTTTTTAAAAAAATTCTTTGTTTTCAAGCAGTGAGAACAGTAAGTAGAAAATACATCTAAACTCTGCTGTATAAAATGGATTGTCTATCTCGGGACCACTCCAATTTATGATAAATATGCAGCTGACTCAGGCAAGTAATAAAAAAACATCACCCCAAAGTTTTCTCATGCAGTGAAACACACGGGTCACCCTTCCCACAGCTGAAGAAATGGCAATGTTTTAATCTCCAAAAGCACAGTTTTTCTTGTGCTAATAGATTTTTAAGATTCCTTTCTATATTTTCCCTAAAGTAAACCTAGAGAATATGAGATAAAGTGATGGGGAGCGGGAACACTCATCTCCTAGCACCTAATATACAATTTAAAATCTGCATATATAAAACATTTCTGTCTGAGGATCTCTGCTGACTAAAAGCAGGCCAGCACAGCAGGCGATGCATTAGTGTACGGTACGATACAGCTCCTCACCACCCGAGGAATGTCATTCAGACTCACTACACCTTCCTACAAGGTGACATTCAGCATTTGGAGCTCTGAATTACCCTTCAGAGCAGTTACTCTAGGCAGCGGACAAACAGGGTACCTTCGATTGCAAAGTTATCTGCAGAATCATTTCAGTATGAAAATTTTAATCAAAAAATAGGGACTCTGCATCGGAAAACTCCATCTTTTCAGTCATCCTTGAGAGAACGGCATGTTTCCTACTCTCGAAGAGCCTTTAATCCAGAATTTGATTGCTAATTAATACTGTGCCCTCAGTGTTCTTTGAGCTAACACTAAATTATGAGACATTTGATTCATACATTCCTTAAGAACACCTTCTTTTTAAGGTATTACAAAGCAGTGACAATAGAAGTATTTTACTTGTTGCTATCTATTCCCACACTTATTTTACATCCTCGGCTGTAGATTGGGGGCTTTTTCTTCCCTTTTTAAAATCTCTGTACTTGGGAGGAAGGTGAAGTGAGGTCTGTGGCACTCTCGGGTATTTGCTTCGATTAGGTTAACGTGCTGTTCTGCTGGAGAGACAATTTAGGACTTTATTTTTGAGCTTGAATTAAAAACAAAGTTTAAGGAACTCTTCTTTTAAGAGATCTTTGTTATATAGGATGGTGAAACTACATAAATAGAAAGAGGTATGAAAATTTCTTTCCAAATCCATGTTCTGCAAATAAAAGGAGTTTAAACAGCCATAAAAAGATATAAATAAGAGGCAGGGAGGGACAGGAACTTATATGTGAAGACACACATAGCTGCAAATTTCCTCTCCTGTATTTTACAGAACAAAATCTTTGTCCATTTCTCTTCTGATATCATTTTGGCCACATTAGCATTTTCTTTGTTAGTCAAATAAAATAAATGACAATTTGTTTGGTTTTTCCTGTGTTGTCTAGCAGACTAGCAGTCTATGGCTGTTATTATTTGCTTCTTGGATAAATTATCACCCTGTTAAACAGCTATTCTGAAATAGTCAGAAAACCCAAACACACCCACACTTATGACTAACAAGCAGCTGCTAGGGCTGTTTCTGCTGTTTTTCTTAGGCATGTAAATTGTTGTACGCTACCTTTCCGCAGCATTTAGCCTTGTCTATGATCTTCAGCGCAAACTCCTTTCCGGTGGATCTAGAGAAACAAAGGAGAACTATCAATTAGAAACTGGTCAACAAACCGTGGCATTATCTGTAAGATTACAGATCATACACAAACAGAATGCTTTGACCCTTGGAGGTTGCTGACGGAAAATTCACAGAAGGGACTTATTTCGTTTTTTGTTTTCTCAGCAGCATTTGTGCCTGCTGTTTCCCTGACTACCACAACCTTGTGTATTAACCCCAGGCTCCAGCTGCAATTCCTTCTTCTGTGACCTGGCATACCTCTGTTACGTCTTTAATGCAACGTGCAAGATTTGTCTTGAGCCTTCCACTCAGGTTTTTTTTTCAACTGGTAGGCTTTAAAGGTAAAATCACAGAATAGGTTGGGTTGGAAGGGACCTTAAAGAGTTCCAACCCCCTGCCATGGCCAGGGACAAATCATACACATTTATGTGTAAGTGAGCAGAAGAAAGATTTGATACACGAGTGGAAAAATTCAATAGGTTTCAGCAGAGCTAAAACCCTGTAAGTTTATTACAGACTAGTTAGTCTAAAATCCCACAGAATTTATTAGGTACTAATTTTCACCTTCTGTATTTGATTCATTCTTTATTTTTAAAATATTCTATGATCTGAATTGCCATGACATTCAAGAGGGTGGTTATACACAAAGTAAAAAGGATTACTGTTTCCAGGAAACACTCTCCCAGAAAGGAGATCCTGTTTGCCTTTTGTCCCTTTAAGCCATAAAAACATTCTCCATTTCTCCAGAAGGGGAGAAAATCAGAGAAAAAAGGCAACACAAGCAAATTGTTTTTTTAAACAAGACATTACTACTTATATTAATTTTGAATTGGAAATGACAAGAAAATGCCATAAGACCCTGTTTCTACTGTTTTGTGTTGTGTCAGTACCTACAGACTCCAACGTACGTCAGGACATCACTAGCATGGATGGTACAAAACACTGGAAGCAGTTACAAAAGCAGAAGTTAGGCATGTTTTTAAACTTCCACATTAAATTCCACTGTAATTTTTTTGCATGATACAACTAATCAAAATTAGAAAAAAAAAGGGAACTCGATGTCTCACATTTAATTTATCCATTATTGAAAAAATGCAGTCGAGAATATCTGCTCTGAAAGTGCAGCTGTACCTGCGAGGTTGTCATAGTTACACCCTGATCCAGTGTTATCTAGTGGCATCTGTTAAATGCCATCCTCTCATATTATAGACCTGATGTACAGTCTCTTACAAACACAATTACAATAATTCACAATCACAATTTATGCATTAGACTAAATTACATGTATCATCTGAAAGCCTGCAAACAACTGATCAGCAAAAGCCACTCGGAAACCTTCAGCATTTGTGCTGTGTAGAAAGAGGAGTTAACATTCACAAAGCCAATTCATCAACCAACCTCAAATCCTTCCCACAAACGTCCTTTACTATAGCACCTAAGAAAAAACCCTGGATATCACCCACTGCCAGTCATACACCAGTATTGTCTGACAGCCTTCTGGTACTCTTGTCTAGCTGTCGGTGTCCATCTGTCGACTCGTGTCGTTATATACAGACATATAGGCACCCGTTACAACTGAGACCTGCTTATTCGTTTTGTACAACAGCTGGTATAAGAGGATCCTGGCTCCACAACTAAGGCTTCTAAGAACAAGACTATTAGAAATGAAGTATAATAATTAATAAGAATTAAAAGACAAGCATTTATAGCTGGCATTTCTTCTCTCATTATTAGCAACTATGGCTGTATAGTTATTTTATATATAATTCATTTAATAGTGCTTCACTAAAAATAAAGATTGGGTCACATACAAAACTAGATTTTTTTATTTTGCCTTTTTTTTTTTTTTAATAATTGGAGGGTTGTTTTCCTAGTCCAGTCCCCTTATTCTAAAAAGCCAGATGGCATTTTGAAACCCAAGTGACATATATAGCAGCCCTTGTCTCATTTACAGTGGAACTGAAGTGATTTCCAAAACGCACAGTCAATATTCCTGGAAATAATAAATGATGTTATCTAATGCTTTAAGCCTGTTATCTTTCATGAATGTTGTTCACTCTATAGATAACAAAGGACATGTGACCAGTTTCAGGGTGCACAGGAAGACACTGTGAAGCATCATTCATTTAGTTCCACTCAAGCCTCTTCTGAGTAGCTTCTTGCAAAACAGAACGGACAGAAATTCCATTGCGACACAGCTGGCTATACTACCTCTCAGTTTCTGTAGCAGACCCGCAGCAGGGACATGATGACACACTGATGTGGTAATGCTAGTCAGGAACCAGTTTGTTGGTAGAAACTCTTCAAAAAGAAAAAAAAATACAAGACCTTGGAGTGCAGATGAGAAGCATTATCTTAAACCTGCACGTGCAACAGGAACTTTTTTTGGATTAGTAACTGTGGCATACTCAGACCACATTCAGCCATTTTTTTTCTTTATCAGCACTGTACTCATGCAGTATATCTCTGGGAGCTGCCACCTCAGCCTTTATTCCTTACTCTGTCAACCTTGTGTGCTTGTACATCACCTTCTCAAACAAGTATTAAAAATGACGACTGTCATTTGCTGCTATAAACCAGGAGGGAGCATTAGACTTTGTGTTCCGTAATACCTGCCAATATTGAAAGCTGGTTGATAGTCAAGGATCACCTCCTCCGGGCTCAGGAGCAATGCCAGGAGGCCTGCATGGATGAACAAGGAACTTCTGGGCAAACTCCAACACAAAATGAAGCCTACAGAGGGTGGAAGCAGGGACAAGTAGCCTGGGGGGAATATAGAGACACTGTCCGAGCAGCCAGAGATCAGGTTAGGAAAGCTAAAGCCCTGACAGAATTAAATCTGGCCAAGGACACAAAGGGGAACAAGAAAAGCTTCTGTAGGTGCATCAGGGATAAAAGGAAGGCTGGGGAAAATGTGGGCCCTCTCTGGAAGGAAACTGGAGACCTGGTTACCCAAGATATTGAGAAGACTGAGGTACTCAGTGACTTCTTTGCCTCAGTAGTCGTCACCAGCAAGTGCCCAAGCCACACTAACCAAGTCACAGCAAGCAAAGGCAGGGACTGGGAGAAGGAAGAACCGCCCACTGTAGGGGAAGAGCAGGTTCAAGACCATCTAAAGAACCTGAAGGTGCACAAGTCCATGGGACCTGATGACATGCATCTGCAGGTCCTGAGGGAACTGGCAGACATAGTTAGCAAGACACCATCCATCTTGGTGGGCCTGTGCAAACCTCATGAAGTTCAACAAAGTCAAGTGCAAGGTCCTGCACGTGGGTCAGGGCAATCCCAAGCACAAATACAGGCTGGGAGGGGAATGGATTGAGAGCAGCCCTGAGGAGAAGGACTTGGGGGTGTTAAGAAGCATTAGCAGCAGGTCAAGGAAGATGATTCTCCCCCTCTACTCTGCTCTCACGAGACCCCACCTGGAGTGCTGTGTCCAGCCCTGGGGTCCTCAGCACAGGAAGGACACAGACCTGTTGGGGCAGGTCCAGAGGAGGCCACAAAGATGGCCCGAGGGCTGAAGCAGCTCCTGTGCGAGGACAGGCTGAGAGAGTTGGGGGTGTGCAGCCTGGAGAAGAGAAGGCTCCGGGGAGACCTTAGAGCAGCTTCCAGTGCTGAAAGGGGGCTACAGGAGAGATGGGGGGGAGGGCTCCTGATCAGGGGGTGTAGTGATAGGACGAGGGGTAATGGTTTTAAGCGGAAAGAGGGGAGAGTGAGATGAGATTTTAGGAAGAGATGTTTTCCTGTGCAGGTGGTGAGGCAGTGGCCCAGGTTGCCCAGAGGAGCTGTGGATGCCCCATCCCTGGAGGGGTTCAAGGCCAGGCTGGATGAGGCTTTGAGCAACCTGGGCTAGTGGGAGGTGTGCCTGCCCATGGCAGGGGGTGGCACTGGATGGTCTCTGAGGTCCCTTCCAACCCAAACCCTTCTGTGATTCTATTATTTTTCTCAGTAATGCAGATAAATAATCTAGATAGAGTATCAAAAAACAATTCTCTTGAGAAAAAACAATTGTAATATCCATTCACCTATGTTTCAGTAGAGGAGGCCCCAGGTTCAGCCTCGGTACCCAACCCTTTTGGCCCATTTTTATGACTCTGGAAAGGTATCTATGCATCTATGATCTGCTAAGACTGGAATGAGATGTTTCCATTCATAATTATCTCTCACTTCAAGAAAACCAGCAGATGAGGATCAAATACTGTTTCTGTAACCTCTATGTTTTTCCACAGTCATTTGCTGAATTTGCCCAATATTTGTGTATAAGTTGGAGATTCCTCACAATGTTTAGGAAGCTGACATAACTCTCAGATTGATGAAGACAGCAGAAGGTGGTTCTAAAAAATACACTGAGAAAGCGACAGTCTCATCATCTGTTATGTTTGCACTAGCAGCAAAGTGTGACACCAAGCTTACAGAAGAAGAGCAGTAACACAGCACAGGTCTGTAAAAGTATCCTGTCTACCCCATGGGAAGTCAGGCACAAGGATATTTCAGAGTCTGGAAAACTGAAGGGCTGATTTCAAAAGCCTCTGGCTACTCACTGAACTACCTCGCAGAACTGAGCACAAGCGAGTCCGTAGCACAGGCTAATCGCCACCCACCGCATGCCTTTAAGAATACTTTGCCCACAGTATGATAGAACTTGTGAAAAATCATTCAAGCAGCAGGAAGCAGGGATACTAGAGCAGCAGAATTGCTGAGGCAGGAGGGGGGTCTCTGAAAGACTGTTTAGATGCCACATCCAATTTCCTGACATCCACAACAGTCTGTTGTGTGAGGGGGATTTCTTGAAGACCTGTGGGGTTTCATTAAGAGCTCCTATTAGAAGGTGACACCTCGTTTAGTTTTTGGCATAAAACGCCACGTTCCTCTGCTGCTTTTATTCCTTTGCTGGAATAATACAGGAAGCTCTGTGTGTTTCGCTATGCCTGGTTCTCCTGAAATGGAGGCCAATCTTTGCAACTGCCCTTTCCTTTCATCTCATCACATTTTCTGTGCAGTTTTGCTAACGCTCAGGGCTTTATCCAGTAAAATAACTAGCAGTACTGAACAGTTTCCTTGCTCACCGTTCTATGCACTCCTTTACAACAGCAAAATTGCCGTCGCCGATCACCTTCCCCACTTTATACTTCTCGAGAATGGTAGATGACCCTGAGCACTTGTTTCCATTCACACCTGCAAAAAAAGCAAGGTCAATAATGCAAGCTGAAGTGTCAGCAGTATGTAATAGATCCCCCTGGGGTTCCACGAATATAGAACAGAAACAATCACAAATGCAAAACAAAACCTAAAGTAAGCTGTTTTCTTCACAGCTTATTCCCTTGCTTTTATCTCAAACAAGATAAGGCTAATCAGAGCTGTTTGACCTTTAAACACACAAATCAAATACTATGTTTTTGTGTGGACACATTCTAAAAGTAATTAATGCAGTTAGCAGCTGTTCGTCTAAATATTTGCTGAACTCAAAATACTTTTCTTTTAAGTATCTTTTTGCATACTCAGAGCAAAAATAAGATTCACCTACAATGCATGTAAAAACCAAAAGTTATCTGCTGAATTCCTTCGAGCTCCCTTAGCTGCTGGTGAAACATCCAAAATGCAAGTAAGTTCGTTAGCTGCTTATTTCAGTATTTTTAAATTAAAAAATTGACTCAAATGAAATTTGAAAAGAATTTTTAAAAACCCCATTGCTTTAAAGAAATAAGGAACGAAAGGTTAAGTTTAGCTGAGGTCAGTTAATGGGCCAGGCGGTTCTAGCTGAAGCAACACGTGCTGTTTTGAGGAGCACTCCACTTTCATTCCAGCCACAAACACACTCTTGGTGATACTCTGCAGGTCATGTTCAAAATCACTCAAATTCCTAGCAGTGACCACTGAATAGCAGGGTCCACTAATATGTTACTACTTGACACAAAACAAAATTTATTTCCTAGCATTACTGTCTTGACGTAGAAAATCTGATAACAGTTTTTCTAAGATAAGGTTGTTGATAAGGGGTCAAACATCTCAGGAAAAAAATAATCATTTGGAGTCATCAGAAACCATCTAAAGGTGGTGAATCAACTGTCACCCACAACAAAACTTTTGCAAGGATTGTTACCGATGATTGGTGTCCTACCTTCCGGACTCTGGCAATGAAGCGATTCAGGTACACCATTCACGTTGGAAGAAGATCCACCATGTGGAGGGATCTATAGAAGTATATAAGAACTTATTATTTCCAATGGTAATCACAAGGAGCCATTAAAAAAAACCCACAAAAAACCACCCTAAAAACACTTTTATAGAGCCAACTTTTCTACTCCCATCTTATTTTCAGTCTTGCTTTCTCATTATCACCATCATACAATACATCATTGTCGCTTGCACCAGTTTAAGATCCAGCCCCGCTATTCCTATTTAGATAAGTAGTTGAACGGACCTCAGTAAACCTATTAACAGCAAAGAGAATTCCCTCCAGCTGCACCGAGTCCCATCTAACCACTCGACAGAGCCAGTGCGTGTGGAGGCAACGTTCCTTCCTCATTCTAAGCAACAAGACCATCAGAATACACTCTGCATACGTTTTCACGTAAGCCAGAGACAGCCATCTCCAGAACTCTTCCATGGCCAATGCAGCAAGCACGTGCTCTCATGCTGTAGATTATAAATCTATATCTATACATACATGTCTTCATAGCTGGCACTGCCTGAGGTTTCCCTTGCTGAACTCTGCCAACAGATGCTCTCTTCAGCTCAGCACTGAAGCATGCTAGGAAGGTAACGCAGAAACGCTTGCATGGCCCTACTGGTTTTCATTAAAAGAACAGAGTTTTGGCATAGGTGGCTGGGTCCATCTGTGATGAGTCAGATTGCTTGATAATTTAGTGGCCTGTATTTTAGATTTTTATGACACCTACAAGCATTTCAATGGATGTCTGATATGCATCCAGACATAGATACAGTTTTAGTAACTGTGACACTGTGTAAAAAACAAATAGCTAAATTATTTTGAAGGATGAAGGTTGAAGAAAACTGCTTTGCTGTACTAACAACTTAATTGGTACTCAATCTGAATCTTCACAATTCCACTGAAAATCATCTTGTCACACTGCCCAGGGACATGCACAACAATCATTTTTTATTTTAAAAAGGGGTGGAGGCACAGGAATGAATGCCATAAACAGTAAAATGTACTGCGTGTGTTCTACACGCCACTGTTTCACAAGCTCCCCCATTACAGTTAAGGATAGGGATGCCCTATGAAATTAAAATATATTTTAGATCATTCCCTGTTACTCTACATAACATTTCTTGCTGTTCTGTGAAGTTCCATATCATGTTTTCTTCATGGGCTATTATAGTAGTTCTCAGCGCTCACCACATAAAGGATTAAAATGCTTCTCTGCCTTAAGCTGGGTGTCTGTTGAAATGGCTTTGCATGACACCAGGAATGCAAATGCAGCATTTTCCGTTTTAGCTGACATTGTCTGGTTACAGTGCTGAATATTTTAAATCATTAACACTACTGTCAACGAAAGAACCAAACTGACAGATAGGGATATTGTCTAAAGGCTCATGAAATGCTAATGAACGCTTAAGTTTCTAGGGGCAGCTGAGCTGCCAAATCAGCTGAAGGTACAGTAACTAGAAGCTGTACAACTTAATTTTGCAGAGCCTCTAAAACCACGATGTTTACTAGCATTTGGCACAGATGCAGCGTCAAACAGCAGCCAGTCAGCTAACTCTGCTCCTTGCTAATAACTTAAACCCAGGCTATGTTAATGCTGCTGTCTTTCTGACTTATTCATTTAACAAGAGCCAGGGACAAGGACATTTGCGTTAAATGACATTTGTGCAAAATCATGAGTCAGCCTCTTACCCAGCCAGTCACATTTTCTTCAAGCACGAAGTGGAGATAACAGAATAGATCACTGCAAAGTATTAGTCATCAGCCAAAAATACTAGTAATCTATTTGGGGTTTCCAGTGAATGACAATCCATGGGAATATCTCGCCCACATTTCCAACTCCCTTCATCCTTATAATCAGGTCAGAGCATGACTGGCCATGTTCCTTCCTACCACAGTATGGACAAGAAGGAAGCAAACAGCAACAGGGAAAAAAGCCAAAAGGAATAGGAAAAGGAAAAATCTAATGCTGCTGTTGTGGCTGAGGTGCTAGATCAGAACCCGAAATGGCAGGTTCAACCCTCAGCTCTGCCACTGACGCTCCTCAGGGCTCCAGGCACGAAGCCAAACTCACTCTCCAACAGAGATGGTGTGCAATTTGCGTGCTGGAGGTCTGTGCCTCAGTTCCCCACCAGCAAAACCAGTCTGGCCTTTCCCTGCTGTGTCACAGCACAGTAGAAATAAACTCTGAAGATGTCTGCAAGATGCTTGATTAGCCAGAAATGGTGGGAAGGAGGTAGGAACTGACAGTAAGTGACACAGAATTAAGACTTTTTTATTATTAGAGTAATTTTTCTTATAATTTACCTACCAAGTGACATGTCATATTTGGAATATCTTGCGCTGCAGGTATTTTGAACTCTTTTTATCTACTGTACGAGCAAGAAAGATGCCGAATTGTAAATTCAACACAGGCAACAGTTAAAGAATTCTTCCAAGGACTGCTATGGCACCTGTGGCACTAGGATGGATAATTGCAGGTAACCATTCTTAAAGTGTAGCTGCTAACAGAGCACATGTGTACAAAACTGAAGAGATTAAAACCTTGATGAAGATAGGCACTAATCCTTCAAATCACTTAAGCACATGTTTAACTTTAAGTACATTAACGTCCGCATTGAAATAAAAGGGACTACTCAGTAGCTTAAAGTTAAGAAAGTGCTTAGGTTATTTGTTGGATCAGGTTCTAATGCCCTTTCACTTTGGCCGTTCAGTCAATCAATCGAAAATGTAATACTGAGACAAATTCAAACACAATGCTACTTAGTGTAATTGGGGTTCTAAGGAACGCCTCAACTGTAAAGCTTCTTTATTTGTACAATTTTATTTTCTTTTTAAAAAGATGACATGATGTTGTGGTACTTAATTTCATGAGGGGACAATGAAACACATCCAAATAAGCGTAAGGAAACGATGACACCGCTTTCCAAAATCCATATTAAATCTAGTTTCTGGATTATTTTTGTGGCACAAAGTGTGCTCAGTAACAGATGTACTGGACGAGCTAAGAGTCAAAGTACCTCTGCCAGCATTTCATATCTGAGTATCTATAAATGCACACTGAGAACCAAAGAAAAGGGTTACACCTCTCAATTGCCACCTGCCTACAGAACAGCACAAGGACTCCTCTCAGTCAGTTGTCCCATGCCACCTAACGCGCTATTACCATTATTTCTTAATCCATGCACTAGTTTTAATCTCCGTGGAAAAGTTAATAGAAAAATAAGAAACTCAGCACATTTGCTCAAAAAAAAAAAAAA